TCCTTTGGTGGAGAATGTTGTAGAAACCAAGATCTTGGCACTGGGTATTTTCATAGCTTTTGAAATATTGCCAGTGGTTTTCCAACTTTTCAGCCAGGAACAGAATGTTACCTTCAAGCTGTCATCTTCTGGACTGGGTGACTATGAAACCTGTTCAGGTGGTGGACAGCATGGACATCATGAAACTTTTAATGGAAATATATGGGATTTCCCTGGGGGTCAAGGGGTTAAGACTTTGCTTTCCAATGCAGGTGGCAGGGATTCAATCCCTGGTCAGGGAGCTAAGATCACATAAGCCTCATGGTGAAAAAACCAAAGCATAAAACAGAAGCAATATTGCAACTAATTCAATAAAGACTCCCACTAGACACAATTAAAATAAAAAATATATATTTATTGAATAAACAACAGTTTACTGAATCTAAGACATCAGTGAACAGAGGTAAGGAGTATATATGTGTATGTGTGTGTGTGTGTGTGTGTGTGTGTGCGCTTCAGTACTTTGGCCATTGGCCATCTAATGCGAAAAGCTGACTCATTGGAGAAGACCCTGATGCTGGGAAAGATTGAAGGTAGAAAGAGAAGAGGGTGACAGAGGATGAGATGGTTGGATGGCATCACTAATTCAATGGACATGAACTTGGGCAAACTCCGGGAGATGGTGAGGGACAGAGAGGCCTGGTGTGCTGCAGTCCATGGGGTCGCAAAGAGCTGGACACGACTTGGTGACTGAACAACAACAACATTCTCATGGACACAACTTAAATCTATGTTTTAAAATTTATCTGACTAATTTGCAGGCCATGAGTCCATATTTATACCTTAAATATCAACCCCAACACACCACATGGGTCATTTTAGTTTTCACCCACTTCCATCGTCTCTAAGAGGAGATGCCACTGCTGCCAGCAAGGACGCCCTCTTCTATGTAGAGACAAGCACCCCCCGTCCCCCGCCCATCCCAACTGCCCTCTGGCATGGATGCCTGCTTCCTTTGGCCCCATCTTACGGCACTGGGACTGAATTATACATGCAAGGAAGCAACATTTTGGGCTTTTCACTGACCAAAGAATCATTATGTTTCCCGATCTTTGGGAGGTTTTCCTCAAAACTTCCCCTTCAAAATGATTCTTGTTTTGCTATTGTAAATGTTCCAGACTGCATGGTTAATATTTGGAAAACAGAAAAAAAAGCCATCCGTATTTACCGCTCAAATACAACCATTATATAGTATGTTAGCGCATTTCCTTTCCGTTTCACCCCTGCATGCACCTGTTTTCTCTTAAATATAATTACAGCTTTAATGGTGCTACACCTTTCAGTCTGCATGTTTACCTAAGGCAATAATAAAAACACTTACTACTTATGAAATATGTAGTGTGTGCCAGGCTCTGTATATGTTGTTTTCTCTTTAATCCTTACTGTATCTGCAAAGTAGATATTTTCCTGATGTTAGAGATAAACTGAGGCTCAGGGAGACTGTTAAAAGCTACACTTCTAGTAAGTGATTGAGCTAGGACCGGAAATCAGATAGCTCTGACTTCAAAGTCTTGTTTGTTACCAACCTCCCTGAAGATAAATATATATATATATATTTTTACATAGTACAACACTAGTTCCATAACTCTGATGTCAAATGCAGGCATGTACTGATGAGAAATTCTTTCATAACTTACACAACTGCTCCCCTCTTGTAGGATATGTGGGCTGCTCTCTCCCCCTCTCCTCCCTTCTCCTCCATCTTCCTCTTTCCTCATCTCCTCTCCCCCTCCCCTTCCCCACACACACTGCCTTAATGAACATCTTCACAGATATGTTTTTTTTCACTAATTATTTTCTAAAGGTTTGATCTAATTAGAATGCCACACTGAAATGACACTGGCATATTATCATTTTAAAAAAAAGGCCTATACTTTAATAGGCAAAACAAAAACAAAAACAAAAAACCCTTACTTGATTTAATTAGTGTATATTTGAATACAAGTTTGTTTTTATTCAAGGAGCATTTAAGGCGTATCTGCTGTTTACCAGGACTGATGGTAGGAATGGAAACAACAAAGATATTTTTATTGCACAACTCTGAGAAAGCCAACAGCAAGGCACCTCAATTCATTCAACCCATGGCTAAGTTGATTGTTTTGGGGACTCAGTCATTGCGCCTAAGACCAAGGGGGTGATGTGTGGGCAAATGCCAAAACGATGAGTTGGTTTAGTCAGCTCAGAAAAATGTGGTGTGGGCTAGATGGGATTCCCAGTTGATGGGTGTGATCAGGTCAGTTCAGCTGTTCAGTCGTGTCCGACTCTTTGCAACCCTATGGACTGCAGCATGCCAGGCTTCCTTGTCCATCACCAACTCCTGGAGCTTATTCAAACTCATGTCCATTGCATCAGTGATGCCATCCAACCATCTCATCCTCTGTTGCCCCCTTCTCCTGCTGCCTTCAATCTTTCCCAGCATCAGGGTCTTTTCCAATGCATCAGGTGGCCAAAGTATTGGAGTTTCAGCTTCAGCATCAGTCCTTCCAATGAATATCAGGACTGATTTCCTCTAGGATTGACTAGTTGAAACTCCTCCACAGTTTAAAAGCATTAATTCTTCGGCGCTCAGCTTTCTTTGTGGTCCAACTCTCACATCCATACATGACTATTGGAAAAACCATAGCCTTAACTAGACAGACCTTTGTTCGCAAAGTGATATCTCTACTTTTTAATACGCTGTCTAGGTTGGTCATAGCTTTTTTTCCAAGGAGTAAGCATCTTTTAATTTCATAGCTGCAGTCACCATCTGCAGTGATTTTGGAGCCCAAGGAAATAAAGTCTCTCACTGTTTCCATCGTTTCCCCATTTATTTGCCATGAAGTGATGGGATCGGATGCCATGATCTTTGTTTTCTGAATGTTGAGCTTTAAGCCAACTTTTTCACTCTCCTCTTTACTTTCATCAAGAGGCTCTTTAGTTCTTCTTCGCTTTCTGCCATAAAGGTGGTGTCATCTGCATATCTGAGGTTACTGATATTTCTCCCGGCAATCTTGTGGTTCATCTAGCCCAGTGTTTCTCATGATGTACTCTGCATATAAATTAAATAAGCAGGGTGACAATATACAGCCTTGACGTACTCCATTTCCTATTTGGAACCAGTCTGTTATTCTGTGTCCAGTTCTAATTGTTGCTTCTTGACCTGCATACAGATTTCTCAAGAGGCAGGTCAGGTGGTCTGGTATTCCTATCTCTTTCAGAATTTTCCACAGTTTGCAGTGATCCACACAGTCAAAGGCTTTGGTGTAGTCAACAAAGCAAAAGTAGATGTTTTTCTGGAACTTTCTTGCTTTATTAATGATCCAGCAGATGTTGGCAATTTGATCTCTGGTTCCTCTGCCTTTTCTAAATCCAGCTTGAACATCTGGAAGTTCATGGTTCATATGTTGTTGAAGCCTGGCTTAGAGAATTTTGAACATTACTTTACTAGCGTGTGAGATGAGTGCAACTGTGTGGTAGTTTGAGCATTCTTTGGCATTGCCTTTCTTTGGGATTGGAATGAACACTGACTTTTTCCAGTACTGTGGCCACTGCTGAGTTTTCCAGATTTGCTGGCATATTGAGTGCAGCACTTTCACAGCGTCATCTTTTAGGATTTGAAATAGCTCAGCTGGAATTCCATCACCTCCATTAGCTTGGTTCATAGTGATGCTTTCTAAGGCCCACCTGACTTCACATTCCAGGATATCCGGCTCTAGGTGAGTGATAACACCATCGTGATTATCTGGGTCGTGAAGATCTTTTTTTGTATAGTTCTTTTGTGTAGTCTTGCCACATCTTCTTAACATCTTCTGCTTCTGTTAGGTCCATACCATTTCTGTCCTTTATTGAGCCCATCTCTAATTTTCTTGAAGAGATCTCTAGTCTTTCCCATTCTATTGTTTTCCTCTATTTCTTTGTATTGATTGCTGAGGAAGTCTTTCTTATCTCTGCTTGCTATTCTTTGGAACTCTGCATTCAAATGGGTATATCTTTCCTTTTCTCCTTTGCCTTTAGCTTCTCTTTTCTCATCTATTTGTGCCTTAGCTCCAATGTGGAGTTGAGATCGGGCTTTTCGAGTTCGCTGTTAGGACCTGCCAGTAGGGGGCGCCAGAGGGAGACGGCACGGTGCTTTCTGAGAGCTTCCGGTCGGCCCTCAATGCCCTAGTAATGTGTGTTCACCCTGACGGCAGTTCTGTCTTCCTGTAGTTGTAGCTGAATCTAGTTGGCAGTTTTCCCAACACTTGAAGAATCAACTTCATTGTGCCTCCTACTAGAGGTACTAGCGCCAGCCAAGCAGCGCCTCCTCCCCAGAGTTCTTTGTTTCAGAGGCCCCTCTTCTAAGGTTCTGAGTTTTAACACTTCTAACCTCTTCCCTTTGTTCCTTCAACCCTAGTCACGCTATCTACTTCTGTCAGTGCCAGTTCTGTGATATCTTCGGGTACTCTTTCAGTCTCCCCGTTAACAACTCTACATTTAGTTAACAGTTCTTTACATTAAATTCTTTCTGTATAGGTTTTCAGATTTCTTTCAGAATTCTTTCTGTTCAAAAAACTAGTGTGACCCTTTTCTCCCTATTGGAACCTGACTGACAAACGGCAGGCCTTGAGCTGCTGAAGTTCATAGGCCTTTGCTGTGCCTACGTGATTTCTTTTAAATTCTATGTACACAGAGGTATGAGGAAGAGATAGTTCTCTGGCCAGTGGGGCTGTGGGAGCTACAGTGTTGGCTGAAAGAAAGTGGCCCCTTCCAGAACCTTCTTGCTCTCTCTTGACAAGTTTCAAATAAGAAGTGTCTAGTGCATTGAGGAATTGCTGCCTAGAGAATTCCAGTTAGAATGTTTGGCTGCTATATGTTCCATGGAGTTAAGGTATTTCCTGGAGATGAGAATCCATTTTAAATTGTCTTCATAAATTCACACAAATATTTCGTCTGTTTGATGTATTAAATGGCCAAAGAACAACTTTCATTTGAACTCTATTCAGCTAACACTAGTGAGCACCTCATGGGGGTTGGGGGGTTCCCTGGTGGCTCAGTGGTAAAGAATCCACTTGCCTGTGGAGGAGGTACAAGAGACTTGGGCTCGATCCTTGGGTTTGGAAGATCCCTTGGAGAAGGAAGTGGCAACCCACTCCAGTACTTTTGCCTGGGAAATCCCATGCAAAAGAGAGGAGCCTGGCGGGCTACAGTCCATGGGGTTGCAAAAAACTGAGCAACTCAACAACAACAGTGAGAGTTAGATCCTGGGCTATAGACTGGGACATAGAGTTACTAGTCCTTATCCTGGCAGGTCCCACTGTCCACCTGGGAAGTCATCATGTAAAGAAATAAATATGGCAGATTGAACACATGTCTTTACCTCTGTTTCCCTCTGAAACCCACAAAAACTGCAGTGAAGTTTGTTTCTTTGAATACAAACACAGTTGGTTGTTTTGAAAATGTATGTGTATACATATATGTATAGGTCTCTGCCTTTAACCTCCCATTCCTGGCACAGAGCTCCTAAGACCCTTGTAATTCCCTAAGTGATAGGAGCCTTAGGAGCATCTTTTGTCGTAAAGTTTGGTCTTTGACTGTCTCTGACACAGGGCTCCTAAAACCCTTGTAAATTCCTAAGTGATAAGAACAGTAGAGGCATCTTTTGTTCTTTTGAGGAGACTCTGGGTGAGTTCCTGGATGTCAAGCCATGATTAGAAGCTTGAAATTTTTGTTTCCACCCCCTCATTTTCCAGAAAGGGGAGAAGGGCTGGAAATGGAATTAATAATTGATCATGCCTATGTGAAGTCCAATACTTTGGCCACCTGATGCAAAGAACTGATTCATTGGAAAAGACCCTGATGCTGGGAAAGATTGAGGCAGGAGGAGAAGGGGACGACAGAGGATGAGATGGTTGGATGGCATCACCAACTTGTGAGGCGAATGTGATAACCACTACACTATGGAAACAGGATGGCATCACCAACTTGATGGACATGAGTTTGAGCAAGCTCTGGGAGTTGGTGATGGACAAGGGAGGCCTGGCGTCCATAGGGTCACAAAGAGTTGGACGTGACTGAGTGACTGAACTGAACTGAACTGGTGTGAAGAAGTCTGCATAAGATCCCAAGAGAAGGGTGTTTGGGAAGCTTCCAAATTGCAGAAAACATCCATGGATGGGGCTGGGGAAGGTGACGCAATCTAACTTCATGGGGACAGAAGTTCCTGCTCTTGGGACTTACCCACACCTTACCCCATGTGTTTCTTCATCTGGCTGTCTACTGTATTTCTTTTTTTTTTTTTTAAACACATCCTTTAATAAACAGGTTAACATAAATAAATGTTTCCCTGGCTTCTGTCACTCTAGCAAATTGATGGAACCTGAGGATGGAGTTGTGGGAATCTCAGATTTATAGCCAATCAATCAGAAGCATACTTGACAACCTGGACTGAAAGGAGGGGGGAATTTTGTGAGACTGACTCCTTGATCTATGGGACCTGATCCTATCTCTAGGTAGATTAAGTATCAGAATTGAGTTAGATTGTAGGACCCGGATGGTGTTGCAGAATTGCTTGGTGTGGGGAGAAGTTCCCACACATTTGGCCACCAGGATTATAAAAAATGAAGTGTCTGTGTGAGTAGTAAAGGTGACACACTGGAGGGCAGCTCTAGGTTTTTTTTAATACACTATCTTAGACCCAAGAAAGTTGACTGTTAAGGCAGCTGGGAGAAAGCAGAAGGGATCTACAGAGAGAGAGCCTCAGAAATCTGCAGGAGTTCTCTTTGAGTACATGGTTGAGTAACCAGTCTTGTATGTGTACAGTGATGATCCATGAGATTAGGCAAGGAATGACTGGGGAGTTGGAAGCTGAACAATTTTCAGAGCTCATTCAAGTTAGAACCAGTCAGAGAGGAGAATCCTTAATAAGCACCCTGGGCACTCAGGGGAGACCCCAGGAGAATCACACACTAGTGGAAAGCCTAAACTAGTCCATAGTAAAGACTACTCTAAACATACCTACCCTTAATACTGAGCTTAATACTGGGGGACTTGTGCTACCAAATTCCAAACCTTAATATAAAGCCACAGTAATTAAGACAGTATGATATTGGCAAAAGGATAGACACACATTCCATTCCAATGGAATGGAATAGAATATAAAAACAGGCCCATACATGTATGGTCAATTGATATTTGACAAAGACAAAAAGGCAATTAATTGGGGAAAGAATAGTCTTTTCAACAAATGGTCCTAAAAGAACTGGGTATCTGTTAGAAAAAAGGAGCTCAATGCATTACACAAGAATGAACTATAAATGGATCATAAACATTATCATAAAAGCTAAAACTATATAACTTCTAAAGAAAGCATAAGAGAAAATCTTTACAGTCTTGAGGTAGAGAGAGAGAATTCTTTGATAAGACACAAGAAGCATGAATCATAAAGGAAAACATTTGATAAATTAGACTTCCTAAAAATAAAACTTTTTTGTTTTTCAAAAGATACATTAAGAAAATTAAAAGTCAAGTCATCCTTGCAAATATAAAATATTCATAATTTGCATATTTGACAGTGGGCTTGAATGTAAAAAACAGAAAGAACACCTATTAATACAGTTCAGTAAGAAGATAAATGTGTGTGTGTCCTTAGTCGCTCAGTTGTGTCCTACTCTTTGCGACCCCATTGGACTGTAGCCCTCTAGGCTCCTCTGTCCATGGGATTTCCCAGGCAAGAATATTAGAGTGGGTTGCCATTTCCTTCTCCAGGGAGTCTTCCTAACCCAGTGATTGAAACTATGTCTCTTGTGTTTCCTGCATTGCAAGCAGATTCTTTACCTGCTGAAAACAAGTAGCTCAATTTAAAAATGGGTAAAATATTTGATCATACACATCACAGAATAAGCTGCGTGAATGGCTGATAAGAACATGAAAATATGTTTTGTGTTATTAATTATTAGAGAAATCAAATTAAAACCACCATTAGACCCACCAAACTCCATTAGAATTAGTGATACTATCAAGAATTAGTGAGTATATGGAGCAACTAGAATGTTTGTGTGTTGCTGGTAGAAAAGTAAAATTGCATAACCACTTTGGAAAACCACATTGCAGTTTCTTATAAAGTTAAACATCTATTTACTTATGATCCAGTAATTCGACTTCTAGGTATTTATTCACCCAATAGAAATGAAAATGTATATCCATAAAAACGTATATACAAGAATTCAAAATAGCCCCAAGTTGGGAAGAACTCATGCTGCTGCTGCTGCTGCTAAGTCGCTTCAGTCGTGTCCTACTCTGTGCAACTCCATAGACAGCAGCCCACCAGGCTCCCCCGTCCCTGGGATTCTCCAGGCAAGAATACTGGAGTGGGTTGCCACTTCCTTCTCCAATGCATGAAAGTGAAAAGTGAAAGTGAAGTCGCTCAGTCGTGTCTGACTCCTAGTGACCCCATGGACTGCAGCCTACCAGGCCCCTCCATCCATTGGATTTTCCAGGCAAGAGTACTGGAGTGGGTTGCCATTGCCTTCTCTGGAAGAACTCATATGTCCATAAAAATTATGGATTGTGCTATATTCATATGATATAATGCTGTGTGTGTGCATGCTTAGTCGTGTCAGACTCTGCAACCCAATGGACTGTAGCCCACCAGGCTCCTCTGTCCATGGGATTTTCCAGGCAAGAGTACTGCAGTGGGTTGCCATTTCTTCCACCAGGGGATCTTCCCGACCAGGGATCAAACCTGTGTCTCCTGTAACTCCTGCATTGGCAGGTGGATTCCTCACCACTGTGCCATGACGTAATGCTACTCAGCAATAAAAAGAAATGAAGATTTATCTATGCAACAGCATGGATGAATCTCAAAAAATTTATGTTGAGCAAAAGAGCTGCTGCTGCTGAGGCTGCTAAGTCGCTTCAGTTGTGTCCGACTCTGTGTGACCCCATAGACGGCAGCTCACCAGGCTCCTCTGTCCCTGGGATTCTCCAGGCAAGAACACTGGAGTGGGTTGCCATTTCCTTTTCCAATGCATTCATGCATCCTAAGTTGCTTCAGTTGTGTCCAACTCTATGCGACCCCATGGGTAGCAGCCCACCAGGCTCCTCCATCCACAGGACTCTCCAGGCAAGAACACTGGAGTGGGTTGCTATTTCATGCTCCAGCTGAACAAAAGAGGCTAGATACTACAAAGTACCTACTGTAGGATTCCATTTATATGAAATGCTAGAAGAGACACATCTATTCTATAGTGACAGAAAAGAAATAATTGTTTGCTTGGGGTCTAGGGTTGTGGGGGTTGATTATAAAGAGATATAAGGAAATTCTTTGGGGGTCATGGGTATGTTCTTTATTTTGGTGGTGGTTACATGAGTGTATACCTTTATCAAAACAGATCCAACTTACACTTAAAGTGGATGCATTTTATTCTATGTAAATTGTATTTCAATAAAATTGATTTGAAAAATCTGGAAGATTGTTTGAAATCTATTCAATGAGCCACTGGACTTTGGAATCCCCTCTTCTGCTCAGAATGGCCAGACACTGTTCCCCACCACCTCCACGGAGGACTTCAGGTTTATTCTCTGGAGGGTTAAACAGAGGGTCTTTACAACAAGGCACAATAGGACACAGACATCTTCTTGAAAAAATGGTGAATGAAGCAAAATTTACAACCAAGGGCTAAGATCCCCAGCCCTCTTTTCTCATTTGGTTTCCAGAATGCTAGAAGTCAGTCTTGTGGACTCTTAAGAGGGAATTTGGAAGATTTTTCTGACTAACTGCAAAGGAAAGGCCCGAAACACTGACATTAGAATCTCTCCATGTGAGTAGCTTAGCAAACACTGTACAGAGAGCCTACCATTGACATGCTTCATCCACACTCACGGAGTTGTTGGTGCTGCTCCTGGAAATGTGAGTTGTCAGCCATGGAGCAGTCAGTCATCTGAGAAGAGCCTCCACATAAAAACTGAAGTTCAGATAACAAACATGAAAAAAAAACTGTGGAGAAAGCAGAGACTAGGGACATGAAAATATTAAAATTAATTTTATTAGTATTTTCAAAAAGAAAGAGAAGATACTTTATTCCTG